GTGGGAATTGAAAACTCGGGCCACTGTGGCATTCAGGACATAGGTAGTTCTAGAGGGCAGAAAGGAAAGGATTAGAAGGTGCATCTACTTAGAGAATTGTTGCCACTGAAGAAATTCCACCTCAGGAAGGTCGAAGGACTTGCCAAGGCCACACAGCAGTGTAGCAGCGATTCCGTTCTCCATCTAATGGCCCCAAGTCCAGCATTCTTTTTTACTAAGTTCTCTGAATCATTGTATGCATTTGCTGATGAATTGCTAATTAGAACATACTACAATTTGATCATGCTTCAGCTTGAGAACATTTCTTCCTTTTCCTTATTCCCCAGCCCATAGTGCCCCTTGACTGGCTGTGGTTGATATAATAGCCAATGCTTTATTTTTAGCCACTATTTTCCCCTCAAGTTACATTTGAACTGCTTTCAGTTATTTTTGCCAAGGAGGTGGAAACTGATTCCAGCAGAGATGTTTCCTGTTAATCATAAAGGTTTTGAGTGGTGTTGTATATTAATCTACTAGTCCCCGTATATTGCCCGAACCAGAGTACCTCAGTCAGAGACACTGCAAATTAAACTTTGTGTTCCTCGTAATTTTGAATTTCAGGACTTTGTAATCTCTCTCCTGTGTGCAGACACTGTATTTGAACCTCATTCTACTTTAAAAAAAAAAAAAAAACACCAAAAACCTTTCTTCAAGACGTGAATTATTGAATTACTGCAAAAGTTTGTGTTCATTGCTTTTATTTTCATCCTGTACTCCGCCTCTTCAATCCAGCCTAATTAGAGCTTGCGTGAGTATCGGATAACAGGAAGTACTGCAAAGCAGATTACCTTTCTCCTTTTCCTCTGCTTTTTAATGAGAACCATCTGAAATTAGCCCAGCAGAAAAGTTTCAACATCAAACACTTGCAAGCTAAGTGAATACATCTGTTCAAGTGTTCCAGATGCAAGATGGGTCTGGGCGGATGCATGTGATGTTTAATCTGACAGAGCCAGTGGTCACTTTCCCGAGTTTATACTCAGCTAACCTTGCTGGATTCCAAACTTGCCCTGTGGAAGAAAGTTAGCCTTGTAATTCGCAGTGACTCCTGGTATCTGGCAGGTATACTTCCTACTCTGAAACCTAAAGGAAGCTTTTGGCCAATTGAATGTAGTCGTGTTGAGTGAGACCCTTTTATGTGGTGGTGAGATTATCTCAGATCTTCTGGTACCTATTTTTACAGTTAAGGAAATGATCCTGGGGTACTGATTCAGCAGCTAAGTCTGAAGGAATGTAGAGGCCTCACTGATTCATCCAGGGATAGATGGAGCCAGGGACCCTGGGCCAAGAGAGCCACTAGAAACTCAGGATGTCTGAGGTAGAAGCTGGGAGAGCTAACCGAGCCCCCTCCCCGCATAATCCTTGATGCTGTGGTCAGAAAGCGTGGGTCCCGGGCCAGTGTGGGATTTCCTACGTTGTGGGAGGGCGTCACAATTGGGTTCTAAATTATGACTAATGCCAGCTGTAGTAGTTGACAAATCCCCACGGCTGCAGTGGGAACGTGTCTTTCTCCACCGTGATCTCAGCGTGCCAGTACTAGAGCCAGGGTAGAAGGTGTGCTGTGGGAAGAACAGCCTGTTGTCTTGGCTGGGATTCTCTCTGTTGTTGTGGAGTTAAGGTATTTTATTCTTGTAGTACTGTTACCCGTGGGTTGTGGAAGACCACTTCTCACTCATTCAGTCTGTCACCAAATATGTACTGAGTGGCTTACGTTGCTGGCACTGGGAGTACAGATATGATGAGGTTATGGTCCCTCAGGGCACTCTGCGGCTACCTGCGAGGCAGTCCTGTAGATCATTAGTGACAGCTCAGGGCTGGGTGGTGCAGAGTGGCCTGGAGGGCCAGACTGACCCAGAGGGCAGAACCAGAGGTTTCCTGATAGAGTCATCAGGGGCTGTGTCCTGAAAGGACCAACGGGAAGAAAGCTGAAGATGTAAATACACTGGCGAGCCGAGGAGACAGCAGGAATGCATTTCGGGCCGGCAGGATCCACAGGAAGGCGGAGATGCATTCCGAGTCCCAGCAGGGTCTATAGGAGGGACATTTCAGTTGGAAGAGAGGCTGTAGTGCAGTAAGAGAGACAGGCATGGGTAGGATTTTGGGGGTGGAGCTGTGAGGGGAAAGAATGGGGTGAATGAATTGGGAGGGTGATGTTAAAGGGGCCATGTGGTCAGAGAATGGAGACATTAGACTCACTCTTGCCTGAGAACAATAGCACAGTTATGCCTTTAATGAATTATCTCCTGATTTTACTGTTTAAAATAAAGACAGGCTTTTGAAGGACTTCTCTGGGCTGTGCAAAAGAGCGGTGACCAGTGGTGGAGCTAAATTGGCTCTGAGCTATTGAAATCACTAGAATCGTTCATAGAAAAGAGTGTTAGCCGCCATCTAGACCAGCCGCTCCTTTTGCAGGCGAGGAAGCTGAGGGCCAGGAAAGGGAAGGCTTGCCCAGGGTCATGCAGCGTCAGGGCAGCGATGCCGCCAGTGCTGGAACCAGCAGGTTCGTAGTTCTGTCATTTCCCAGGAAGGTCACCTTTTTTAGGAATCCTTTTGCTTCTAGGCTCAATTACTTTTAGCATTTGTAGAAAATTCAGCAACAGTGTATTTGATGTTTAAATGAATGTAAAATGCAAGTTTCTATCCCCTAAAAACAAATTTCAGGACTCACCCATTCAAGCTCGTTTTACGTAGTACAAGTAAAATTCAAAGATAAATTTTTTTCCTAAATAACCTTGTCCTGAATTTTATCAAGTGTTTTTGTGTTTGGATATGAAATAATGGAAATAAGGACATAAATTTACTAATTTTATACCTCAAGGACTATAAAAAAACAAACAAACCAGAAATTTACTCTTCCATTTGCCAATTAAAAAAGTAGATTTAAATTATGCTTCCCTAAGTAGTTTTTCTGTTTCTGTACCCATGTCCTATTTATATACCTGTGCAACTGAACGTTTTCCTCCAGCTTGGTGTGGAGAGAGGGGAGGGTAGGTAGAGCCAGTGTAGACATAGCTGTGAGCAGTAGCCTCAGCGGGACGGGAAGGGTTAGGGGAAGTGGGGAACCTGAGAGACACTTACCGTAGTGGAACTCTCCAGGGAGTTGATGGCTGTTAGTGAGTGTAGCTTTATCTAGCTCCAATATAAAATGCTCTCAGAGGTATTGTTTCTAAATGTTTAGGAGCAGTTTCAAAGCTTGCTTGCTTTTCTGTTAAGCAAATAAAGGCTTAGGGTCAACCTAAAAGAACAGCTAGTCAGCTTATGTTCACTGGTGGCAAATTTCGTTGTGATTGTAATTCTCATATGAAATTGTTTTTGCCCTGGGCTGTGGTCTCACCCTGCTTGATAGAATACAAGATCTGCTGTGGGTTCCATGTTGGAGAATTTTACTCTCCTCTTTCAAGTGCTAGTGCGAGGAAGATCTTAGGAAACATGGGTTGAGGATATTTTGCATTTACTAATTCACAGACATGAGTTTCACCTTTTAAGCAAGTCCAGGAGAGAAATCAAATTTAAGCAGGAAGATAGTGGAAACAGCATGGGCTCTGGAGCCAGACAGACCTGGGTTTGAATCCTACCTTTGGCAATTAGGGGTACAAGGACACTTGGACCAATTATGTAAGTTTTGTGACGATCATGCATCTCATTTGTAAATTACAGGGATTGATGCCTTCCAAAGGTGTTGTGAGGAATAACTGAAATAAATACAAGAGACATCAAATCATTACCAAGTTAGTTCACTTCTTCTAGATCCATACTAGAGGCATTAAGCAGAGAGTCTGTTACATACAAGACTCTGGGCTAGATATTTGGGAGAGGCTGGATCAGAGAAGAATGAGACCTATATTCCACTCTAAAGAGCTTACAGTTAAGTGGGGAAAATATGACGTGCACAGAAACTGCAGTCCACAAGCTCTGGCCACGCTGGCCTCTGCTGTTCCTGGAACATTCAGGCATGCTTCCGCCTCAGCACGTGCCCTCCCTCCCCTCTCCCTGGGACGCCTGTCTCCTTTACCTCCTTTAGATCTTTACTCAGGATCATCCTGTTTAAAATGAACTCCCTGCTGCCAGTATCCCTGTCCCTCTTCCCTGCTTGCTTTTCCCCCAACAAAATGTGTGTGTGCATGTGTGTGCACATGTGTATTTTCTCTTGCTATGTGTTCCACCTGTCTTTTCAGTATGAACACCACGATTATCTGATTTATTTACTGCTCTATTCCTACTGCCTAGAACAGTGCTGGCTTAGGTACTCAGCAAGTGTTAATGGAATAAATGAGTGATCTAACTAATTAATTTCAGGTACAGAGAGGGCCTATCACAAAGAGCCCCAGTGGCTAGAAGAGCAGAAGGTCATATCCGTGGAATCATACACGTGGTCTTTTGTGATTGGCTTCTCATTTAGCATAATGTTTTCAAGGTTCATCCATGCTGTAGCATGTTTCAGTACTTCATTATAGAATAATCTGTTGTATGGAAATACCATATTTTATTTATCAGTTGATAGACACGTGAGTTGTTTCCATTTTTGGCTACAAACAATGCACCATGAGTATTTGTGAACGAGATTTTGTTGAACATATGTTTTCATTTCTCTTGGGTAGATGCCTACGCCTAGGGTTGTTTATGTGGTAACTCTAATTGGTAATATGGAAACTCAATGTTCAACCATTTGGGGAACTTCCAGAGTGTTTTCCAAAGCTACACCATTGCATTCTCATGAGCAGTGTGTGAGGGTTTCAGTTTGTCCACGCCTTCACGTTTGCTGTTATCCTGTTTTATTATAGCCGTCACAGTGGGTATCAAGTAATATCTCACTGTGGTTTTGCTTTATATTTCCCTGGTGATAAATGATGTCAAGCATCTTTTTATGGGCTTGCAGGCCATTTGTCTGTCTTGGAGAAAGTTCTATTCGGGTCCTTTGCCTATTACTAATTGAGTTATTTGTCTTCCTTTCCTGTCCCAAACAGGATGCCGATATGCTAACTGGTGATGAGCAAGTATGGAGGGAAGTTCAAGAATCCCTGAAAAAAATTGAAGAACTGAAGGCACATTGGAGTATCCTTTGACCTGTGGACTGAGTTGCGCTGTTGAGACTGTTTGCTCTCTGTCTTCAAGCCCTGTGGCAATCAGGCCAAAGGCCAGGTTTGACCGCTGCATGAGTCAGTGGTTTCCATTCTGATGCATGGTCACAGGCCGCATCCCTGACCCCGGCCAGCAGTTTGAGTAATGATAAAGAAGACTGTGGCAAGATCAGCACGAATAGTAACTCACTACCATTAGGTAACAATCAAAATGTGTGGCCCAATGGTAGTAGGAAAGTAAGTAGTAGCCCCTTTATCTGTAAAAGGTAACAAATTCCTCAGTTCTTTCCTCCCATAACCACCTACATCTCTAGGAAAGAATAGCCTAAAATCCTTATAATTCAGTGTCATTGACTGTCAGACCTAGAAGCTTCATATTAAACCAGCCACAACTACAGTGGCAATGGGGATTGCTGCACAAATTTTCTCGGCATGAATAGTCATGACCACAGGGAGCCAGAATTCAGAGTAACGAGAGTCACTTAGGAGGAAGGTCATCTGGGAAGGCTCCACTGACGTTTTACTGTGCAAAAGATAGCCTGAGGCAGGGGCAGGGTTCGAATAGAGGCTGAGAGGAGGCCTCCTGAGCAAAGCTGCTGAAGAAGACCACAGGCAAGAAGGAAGAGATCAAAGTACATGAAAAGATTGCAAAAGGGCTTTCAGATGCTTTGGGGTAAATGATATCCCAGGCACAGGGAGGTTTGCAGTTTTCTGATGATGCTATTTAAAGAGTTGTAAAGAAGCAGAGAGGTACTTAGAGGGACGTTTCCATTTTTAAAGGTGAAGGACATGATTTCTGAATCGATAGCCCACTGGATTTATTAGCAGTCTTAGTAATGAATCTAGGATTGGTTACTAAGGAATGGAGAGGAAAGCTGTGATCCTCATGATGCTGTGTGGCTTTTCCAAGAGCAAGTGAATCCACAGAGTCATGGCTCACTTTGGTAAAGTTTGTATCAGGATTTTAGGAAGGGATTTGATGAAAAGTAATCAAGAAGTTTATGTTAGATGTTAGCAAAGCTAACGGAATAGCTACATGCAAAAACGATGCTGAATGATTCAGTGTCATTCTGGAGTGCCCTCTTTCCTTCTTGGTCCTCTATTATTCATCATTCCATACCTTGAATGAAGATAGGGCAGGTTTATCAAATCTCCAAAGTGACATTGATGGGGAGGATAATAGAGGGAGATGCTAGAATCGATATCTCTAAAGAAAAGACTTCAAAAGATCCCTAAAGGTTTAAATGGTCAAGGTTTAAAGAGGTGAAATTTAACGAGCATATATAAACTTTGTATTTGGATCAAAAAGTTCAAGTATATAAATATGCTTAAGAACATGTGAAAAAAGTTTAGGGCTTCAGTAAATAGCAAAATTTAACAACATTTAAGAGTATAATATGATCTCCTTAAAGACTACTATGCTCTTCGGTTACATTAGTATAGATTATTAAATTATAAAGATGATAGTATCAGTCCAATTATTTCTAAAAATTTCCATTCAGTTTGAGGTGAGAAGTATTAATAGGGATCTAGAAAAATTGTTTTCAGGGGTGGAACTGAAATTAAAGAGAGATTTGAAACCCTGTCTATGATGAGATGGAAGACACTGGGAAAACAGTCAGCTTTGGAAGCAGCAGGTCCCTGGACATGGTCTGAAGAGCCTTTGTGTACAGAGGAGTGGACTTTTCTGTGTGGTCCCTTGGGCTGAAGAGCCTTTGTGCGCAGAGGAGTGGACTTTTCTGTGTGGTCCCTTGGGCTGAAGAGCCTTTGTGCGCAGAGGAGTGGACTTTTCTGTGTGGTCCCTTGGGTTGAAGAGCCTTTGTGCGCAGAGGAGTGGACTTTTCTGTGTGGTCCCTTGGGCTGAAGAGCCTTTGTGCACAGAGGAGTGGACTTTTCTGTGTGGTCCCGTGCGCTGAAGAGCCTTTGTGTGCAGAGGAGTGGACTTTTCTGTGTGGTCCCTTGGGCTGAAGAGCCTTTGTGCGCAGAGGAGTGGACTTTTCTGTGTGGTCCTGTGCGCTGAAGAGCCTTTGTGCGCAGAGAAGTGGACTTTTCTGTGTGGTCCCTTGGGCTGAAGAGCCTTTGTGCACAGAGGTATGGGCTTTTCTGTGTGGTCCCGTGCGCTGAAGAGCCTTTGTGCACAGAGGTGTGGACTTTTCTGTGTGGTCCCTTGCAACGGCCTTGGGCCCATGAACAACCTAGCCGGAGTTCAGTTTCAACTGGACAGGGTTTTACTGAAAACTGACCGTAAGCTGGGTACCTTGCTGGTCATAATTCACATGATGGTTCAGACAGAAGTTGGAAAACACAGCCCTGCACTCACTACCCTCCTACAGAGTGGGGTGGTAAAATGTTGATTCATACATGTTTTGGTAAAGATACAGACTTACAGGGGCATCAGAGACGCAATAGTCAACTTGGGGAGGTTAAAAGCTTTCACAGAGGAGGTGACCACTGAGCTGGGTCTGGGAGGATCAGCAGAAGCTCACCAGGCCAGCCAAGAGGAGAGGAGCCCAGTATGAGGAATGGCGTGTGTGGAACGTGGACAGCCATGCTGCTGAGAAGTTGCGGCCATTTCACAACATGAGCGGAGGGAGGCAGTACGGCTGTAACTGCCCAAACAAGGCTTTAGGTGAGAGGGGCCGGGGGTGATTTTTTAAGCAGCAGAGTAATATGATTCAGTGAATAAAAGCTCTGTGGTCTGACAGTCTTTGAGTCTCAGTAAGTTGATTAATTCTCCAGTGAATTTGCTTTGCTTCCCTTTCTTTTTTCCCCTGACCCTCTTATGGTCACTTAAAAGTATTCAGGAGAAAAAGTGTATCTGTTCTGTCCATTAGCAATCTCCTCTCTTTGGGAGGGCTCTTCAGCCCTGCTTCGGTCTAGAGCTCAGCTCCTTACTGGAACAGAGTGACTTGCAGTAAACACCACACAGGTGCCAGGGACTAAATCTTTGATCAAATACATGTCACTATCAGCTTGGGGGGAAAGCCTCTTAGTTAAAATTATTCCATTTTTTTGCTCACTGGGGTGTTTTGCAGGAAAGGTTTTGCCTTGTTTGCCAAGCGACAGTTGCCAGTGTTGTGAAGGGAAATTGGCACATAGTCCCTTCCAGCTTGCTGGGGGATAAAATAGATGTATTCCTGTGAGTAGCTGCAGAATGTCACATCTGGCTTTTACTTCTAAGGCTTGTCACCTCAAACCTCTTTAGAATAAGTTGGAACATATGTAAATGAACAGGCAAATAAGAGTAGAGGTCAAAGAGCACAGTGTTAAAATAAGGTCCAAGTCTTGCCACAGAAATGTCTAGCATTGTGTAAGAGACAATCATTCCTCCTGACAGTTCATCAAATAACTAATCCTGGAATGAAAAGCCACAGAGGTTAGCCCAGCAATCTGTTACAAAATCAGTGCCTTGCCTAAGATGCTGCTTCCCCAACCTCTAGGGAATACATTCAGCAAACTTTAAACATTTATGTCAGATGAATATGAGAGAAAATCATGGACTCACTTTTCTTCAGGAAATATACCTTTTTTGGGATCAGGGTCAATTCCTCCAAAACAGGATTCATCCTCAAATTGTAGGGGTGTGATATAAAAGGCTCTCAGCTGTGCACTCTGGTGCTTTAAATTCTCATCAAGGAACTCATCTTTTGGAGTAGGATACTGTGCCTCCCGGAGGCCTTTGCCGGAAAGAAAATACATTTCCTGTGAAAGCTCATAAAGGTATTAGTCTCCACTCTCAGGAGTGGCTTGACTGGTTTATTAGAAGTATTTGTTAATGTTTTGGAAAGCCCTGTCCTGAGGGAGGGTATGGACACTCGAAGAGGCAGGTTTTGCTGGCCAGAGAGGGAGAAGGGGGCACCTACAGTGGGCTCCTGATCAGGGCTGGGCATGCTCTGTTAGGACATCAATGAAGAAGGTTTGGAATTGGGGGCAGGGGATGGTTCAGAGAGCATGGAGACTCGGTCAGGTGGCGGGGGGAGGGGTCTGGGGGTGTGAAGCGAAGTTCAGTCAGACTCAGTCCACTGAGACGTTTCCTTTACGCCCAGTCAGGCTCAGAGGTCATGACACTTACGAAGAATATCCTTTACACATGCCACGAAATGTTTTCCCGCTGTGCCTCTGACACCCAGAACTCTCCCTGGCTCATGATGGGACACACAACGAATCGAGTCATTTTATATACAGTATATTACTAATTTTACGTTGATGTGAGTCATTTTTATTTCTGGCCTGTCATAAAGCACTGACTTCCTCAGAACCTCAAATCTGACAGATGACAGGACTAGCTTAGATGTGAATCTAGCTTTGCTGCAGTCAAAGGCTAGGCTGCCGCTTTTGATCTTGAAGCCTTTTCCCCCTGCTGTAATGACAGCATGTGAAGCAGATAAATGTGGAGCTCCACTGGTTGAAAGTGGGACAGGAGTGAGAGAAGGGTCTGTCCCAGCCCAGCACCCTCCTTGGTCTCTACCTTGCCTAGCACAGTGCACAGCAAAGAAACTGTGGTCCCGGGGTCCTGCTCTCCAGCCTTTGCCTTGTTTCCCACGTAGTTCCCCTGGGAGGGATTCAAAGCACGCTCCATAAACCATGTCCTCAGTCCTTTGACTGCCTCTGGAAGACAGGGAATATCGGTTTTCAACAGTGAAGTCACACCAAGGCTGCATGAGATTAAGTTATTGACTCATGGTTAATCAGAAAGTCAGTGTTACTGAGGAGTGGATATTGAGTCTTCTTCCATCCTTTTTAAAGTATCTTTTCCTCTTGCTAGCAATTTACGTGCAGAAGCCCTGTTCCTAATATTGTCTCTTATTTTGGGGGTTCAAAATAAGCCATTTTAATGTACTTGGCTTGGGTCACTTTGGCTTTCTAATAAAAAAAAATGAGATCCAGTGGAAATGGATTTCTTCAAATTGCTCCACCTAGTGTGTGTCTGTGAGTTGTGTATTTTGTTTCATGTATGCCCCAAACTCAGATAACACAGAAGCAAACATGAGCTCTTCCTTTTCAAAAAGGAATCTTTCTAAAGCTTCTTTAATTTCAAATCGGTTTTTAAACAGAAGCTAACACTAAATAATTTAAAAGCAAATTAACTTAATCTTTAGTCCAATTTAACAACGGACCGCATTTTTTATGACTAGATTGAAAGACTGCATCTAGGAATGTGAAGGAAGGACAGTTGTCTGGAAGTTGTAAAACTCTGAAGCACAGGCTTGGCTGCGATTCGGTTTGTTGATGTCAACAGAATTTCCTTCACTGAGATGCCACTTGGGTGTTTTGTTTCTCAAGTGCGTTTTCAGGCAGCTCATCTGCGAAAATAACGGGCTCTTCCTTCCCTCCTGTGCCTGGGAGTTCTTCAGCCTTTTAGAGGATCTAATTTTACTTTTGTTTTTTCTTGGTGAAGACAATGAATCCTTAACTAAGGTTAATAACAGAGTGGGAGCAGGTTCTGGCCATGTGCCAGGCGGTCATAAGCAGCAATTCTGAACGGCTTCCCGATATCAACATCTACCAGCTGAAGGTGCTCGACTGCGCCATGGATGCCTGCATCAACCTCGGCCTGTTGGAGGAAGCCTTGTTCTACGGTACTCGGACCATGGAGCCGTACAGGCAAGTCCTGGGGAGAGGGCTCACGTAAAGGCCTGGCCATCTTTTCGCTGGGCAAAGGATCGATGCTGTGAAGTCATTCTGATGACTACTTTGCGTGGGGCATTCCCATCTGCTTCTCAGCCATCGTGTAAAACCAAGCCTTATTTTATCCATTCCTTTTGTTCATTCATTTATGCATTCATTCATCATCTGCAAAGTTCTCTCCGTGTGTCAGGCGCCGTGGGTGTACAGAAACTAATTAGATGCTGTCTCGATCTGAAGCCGATGATTGCAATACGAACAGGCGCTTGCAGTGACAAAGGCAGGCTCAGGGTGCTGGGGGAGCTGGAGAGGAACGTGGGGCTCAGACCTAGCTCAAGAGGCGGTGTCGTTGGCCTCTGCTGGTCCAGGTTAGGATGGCCATATGGGGCCTTTGGTCTGGCTGACAGTAAGAATAGTCCCTTCTCTTTCTTGGGCTTTATGCTTTCACTTGAATCATTTGTCTTCGTAATCACCTTGTGAGCTAGGGAGGACAGCAGGCAGACCGCCTTGCCTCAGCTTATTGAGTCAGGTGAAGGAACTATTGGTGATTGCTTTTTGACTGATCTCAGCTCTTCTACACCAGAAGGTGTTTTGCCCTGAGATGTTTTTATAACTCGGAGAAGCTTTGAGAGGGAGGGTCGTGTTGGAGTGGTGAGGGCTAGGCGCTGCTGGATGTTGCGCCCTGATTTGCAGTGGGCTGAGAGCATAATTCTAGAAGTTGAGACTGAGAGCAGTCAAGGGAAAGGGACAGAGACATGCGAGCCATAATCTGAGGTTGGAATCGCTGTCTCTAGCACAGAACAAGGCTGCTCATGGCAAGACACCTTGAAAGCACCTGTGACCAGGAGAGATGGCAGAGGGAGGAGGTCCCTGAGAACAGGGACTGCATTCTGAGCAAACATTTAATTTCCCAACTTTGCAGATGGTGTAAATACCATATCAGCCCAAAGGGGCTAAGCAGAGAGAATCCAGGACAAGACCGATGGTCTGGCAGGACAACATAGGACAGCAGGCAGGGAGTGGCTGTATGTGAGACGGCAGGGAGTGGCTGTACGTGAGACAGCAGGGAGAGGAAGTTACCAGGGGCGACATAAGAACAAAAGCGAGCCCATGGTCTAGGAAGCCAGAAGTGAGGCACTTGGTCAGGAAGCCAGGTGTGAGCCAGGAGCTTGGTGCAGTTCATGAGGAGCCCGAAGACGGCAAAGGCTGTACCAGCCAGGTGGATGGTAGAGGTCCCTGGCCAGCCAGTGGCTCCAGCGTGACCCTGAGCATGTTTTCAGGACGTCTATACATGGTTTCTTCTACTGCCTGTGGAATCCAGACTCTGAGTCAGCTTTAATCAAATTTATCAGGGATTGCCTTGAGGGCTGAGACTGTAGACTTTCCCATGAGCGGTGAAATCCTGTTCAGTGTGATGAATCTTGTGGGTTCTCAGAAAATATGAATCGCATTCAAAGAGATAAGGCTTCATCTCTGAGCCTTAGTGTTGCAACAAGAGGCAGGTCGGGTGGGTGGTGTTACTTCGCCGAACTCCAGGGCTTGCTCCGAGGAGGCCACAGGACAGACTGCTGGGTGAGCAGACAGACTCCGTGCAGGAGACGCAGACTGGAAAGTCCCCTCTTCCTGCAGCCCCATCAGCAGCCGCTGGCTCTTCCTGCCTTAGCCTCGCTTTCCTTTTGACACCAGGCTGCCCTGCTCAGGCCACTCTTAAGCACAGAAACTTTAAATTGGTCCACCACATCCGTAAAGAAGACCACACACTTTCAGAGGTGTCTGTTCTGCACATATTTTGCAATCTTCTCTTCCCCATACCTACCGGGGCTTCTCTGAGCACTAACTTACCCCTTAAGTAACTGGCAGTTTGACTGACTTGAGAGTTAAACAAAGAGACCTTTGTTGTAAGTGAGGCAAGTCCTCCACCAGAATACAGTCCATTATGTTTGGAAAACGTTTGGTTATATTTACATGGTGCTTGGCAGGTCACAATCTCTCTGTAGATGTGTACTCTTTCTTACACTGGGTGACAAATTTCCAAGCCTCCCTTGGTCTCTTTTCCCTGGAGTGTGTTAAGGAGTTGCTTTTTGGTGGTCTGTATTTCAGAAATCCAGACTGCATTGATCCACTTCACATGAGTGAGATATGAATCCTTTGCTTTCAAAGCTGTGGTTGAGAAAAAGGCTATAAATAATCCAGAAACCATGTACCCCAAAACCTAGAATGCAATAAAATAAATAAATGGGAAAAAAAAATAATCCAGAACCAACAAAGTTAAGAGAAATGAGCAGGGTAGATATTGTCATACTTTGCCTTTTTCCCCTTTAGCTCAGGCAGAGGTAAAATAAGGAATATATGCGAACAGGTCTGGAACCCTGCAAGCCCGTTAGCAATTTTAGAACAAAGGCAGAAATAGAGAAGTTGGCAGTGGTTCTCACCTCTCACATGCGTGAGGGAATTCCCGCTGTGTGCTCTCAGCCCCCGTGTGGGCTCCGTGCAGATGTTGGAGGTGGGCTTTGTGCTCACCTTTAGCCAAGGACATGAACAGTTAGCGAGGCATGAGTTACCAAGGGATGATTTGATTGCCATCTGCTGTAACAGTTTTACAATGTTAATATATTGTTTGCAACAACTAGATGGAGGTCAAGTCTCTCTCGATGACTTTGTCATTCCTGACCTTGGCTAAATTTTAATTGCTGACCTTGGAGGAGAAAGTGCCCCTATTCCATTTTTATCCAAGTTACTGTCTTCGGCTCCCTTCCTGCTCCTCTGTCATTTATTTTTACTCAATAGATTTTACTCAGTTTTTATGATGCAACTCAATATTAGATTCTTCATGATTCATAAAGCAAGTTAGAATTAGGTGACATACAACAAAATGTACTATCTTTAGTATTAGCTCATAATATGTCTTCTGATAGTATTGGCATATATATGTGACTATATATGCAAACTCATCTGTCCCTTAGCATTATAAACATTAAGCAGAACGAAAATTTTAAAATACTTCATAAATTTTATTTAAAAGTTTAATTTAGCCTAATGCAAATTAGCCAGTTAGTAGTTCCAAACTTGGGATGCATTTTCCTATTAAAGATGGTTACAGATGATGGTGAGGTCCCCAGAGTAACCCGTGAAAGGCTGCTCGGTCTTTAGTACCAGCATATGGACTATGAATTTCTCCCCACCCCCTAAAAAAAAGGAGAGAAAAATGCAAAATTGAACACATTGTTTTAAAAGTTTTGTATGTTGATTACTAATTAAATTAGACTTTAGGAACTGGAGAATAATAAGGAGATACAGTGGGTTTTGAAGAAGATTTTCAGTATATTCACACGCGTTCTGTTCATTGCTGCTTCGAGATTAGCATATGCTTACAGGGAAGGACAGTTTAAGAGGACAGAAAGGTACAAATTAGCATCATCTTCAAACTGTTGTCCTACTCCTTAAAGATAAGCTTGGCGAAAAGTTTCTTTGCTGAAATGTCCTGTGTGAGAGCAGCCTGTCTGAATATATCCCAGAGCCCCGTATCCCTCAGTCTTGGCATGCTGTCAGAGAATTGAAAGTCAATCAGTAATCCCAGCATTTGCCAGGGTCTCATAGAAAACATGAACAACGGATTCATCGTGATACACACAGTGTTTTCTTCGAGGCCCTGCTCCCTGCATTCTTTACATTCTTTTCCCAGCTATTCTCAACTCTTTTTCCCTTCATGACTGTTCACATGGGCTCTTCACTTCTTCCTCCTGCACTTCTTCTGCCTTTTTTCTGCTTGTCTTGCTTGGGGAAGGACTTGTTCCTAATAGGTCTTTTAAAATATGCCTGCTAAGGTGGTGTATGGAAGAGTGGGAATTAGAGAAAAGGGAAGGGAAGCCAAGATAAAGGTCCTCCTTAGTATGGGGGGAAGTGAAGGGGGGGGGGAAGAAAAACTCCCTAGCCCATGTTCTTTAACTTTTTCCACTTTACACGAGCATAGACATCTGTCTAGATAAGCTCCAGATTAGCTACCTTATTCTTTTTAACAGATACATAGTATGTCATTTCATAGATATACCGTAATTTTTAGATCAATATGGGGGAAAAAGAAGGGGGGAAAAACTATAATTCACTAGCCCAGGTTCTGTAACGTTTTCCCCTTTACAAGAGTGTAGACATCTGTCTAGCTCCAGATTAGCTAGCTTATTCTTTTTAACAGATACAAAGTATTTCATCTCACCGATATGCCATAATTTTTAGATCAGCCTCTATCATTTCCATTTATGTGTACTATGTCAAACAGTGCCATGAATAACATCCGTGTACTTATATCTGAGTGTATTGATATGACTGAATTCATAGGGTAAATCCATATGATAAATTCCTAAATGGTAACTGGCTACATCAAAAGTTACATCCCCTGAACTGAAGTTTTTAAAAAGTTATATTTATTTTAAATTTGGATAATTATCTCCAAATTGTACCTCCCACCCCCCAACACACACACACACACACACACACACACACACAAATGTCACTCTTTCCTCAAGAAAATATGAGAAGGGATGAGGTTGATTTCTGTTGTATCTGGTCTGAAGCCATTTCAAAACATATAAGGGCCTTCATCTATTCCTTCATTACAGCCCACATTATAGGGTAAGATTGTCAATATTAATTTTGTTGTCCATAAATGGTATTTTTGTGCTAGTGGGAATGACATTTTTGTGAGATACCTGGGGAAAAGGTAGAAGAACAGAAATGATGAAGAGACTTCAGCTGTGATCAGAGAAGGAGGCATAGGACGGGGGAGTCAAATCTCTGTCAAGAAGAAAGCTGATCAGAGTGAGATTTCAGCTCAGATAGTTTTCTGCTTTGTTGTCAGAAAGGAATGGGGGTAGGTGGAAAGAGTGGAAGTATAACACAGCCAGTAGTTTGTGTACATGCCATGGCTACAAGTCAGCTGTTTGTAACAGAGAGATGGCCAGTGAATTGCATAGCAGCCCCATTGG